CGGAGCTATTAAACAGCCTGAGGTAATGCAACCCTGAAAATAAGGCTGAACCAAAACGATGTCTGTAGGCAGTTACTCATAGCCACGAAGGCGAGCGCTGCTCCCTTGGCTAGAGCAACACCCAGCTCCGCCGCCACACAACCCCGCTGCCGACCGGCCACGCCGCCCAGCCAGCGTGGTGTTCTCTTAAAACTGAGGAGAGATGGAAGACTTCATTAGGAGGCATGCCTTCTGGTTTCAAATTATTCAGGGAAGTCGTAAGAATGGTCAAAAATATCAACTGCAGGTCTAAGAAAAACGCTGTGTATTATGGAACCCGAGGAAAGCGCATGGGTCTACACCACTTCCAGATACCAACATTTTCAATAGCCTCCAGTTTCTCACCAAGTCTGCTTTTCTTGGAGGAAGTGGCCAAGCAAGGAAAGCTCAACCGAAAGTCCAGTCCCCCACCCCAAGTCTCAAAGCATTTTACAGGCCCATGAATTGGTCCATTTTGGGTCATCTTCTGAGATGATGCATCCATATAATAGTGTTGAAGCTCTTGCGCAAAGTTTAGCCCAGTGTCGGATACAACTCCTTACCAGGCTGAGATTTAGTTTTTTTTGGTTTGTTTTTTTTTTTTTTTTTTAAAATGCATTCACTTTATTGGAGGATAGAGTGGCATTGCTGATGCTCCCTTTGAGCCAGCTCCCGTTGGCTGCTCAACCAGTCAGCGCTATTTTTTAAGGAAGAGTTTTGAAACTGTGGCTACTGTCGGATGAATTGAGCGGACCAGGTGAATCCAAGGAGATAAAAGATCGGTTTCCCCCTCTCCCAATCACTGCTGCTACAGTCCTACACACCTCAATGCAGGTTATCAAATCAGACCAGAGAGGATGGGAGCAAGGTCACAGAGTGGCATTACTGCCATACAGCCCTCAGCAAGCAAAACCCAACCTTGCTGTGTAGGTACATGGGATTTACGTACCATGCATGTCCTAGACGGGCATCAGACCTTCCTTCTCATGTATTTAAGAAGCTGTTCTTCCCCCATAAGGTGCCACAGCACTGTGCTTTAATTTGAAATCAAATCTAGAACAGATTAAATATAAAAGGGGAAAAAAGCGCCCTTCCCTAAAAAAAAAAAAAAGCCGTTATCAGCTTTTAAATTTTTTTCTTCTTTTCATAAATGAGGGGCAGTGATGATGATGGGGATACAAAGGCAGAAAATGGACATCCACAGCTAAAGCTCTGTCATCTACTGACCTGTGGCGTGATGGTAACCCTCTGGCAGACAGACAGTGGTGAAGCACCATCAGCTATTCATCGGGATAAGGCTTAGATAAAGAAGCAGCATGTAATGGTGCCCAGCAGGTATCCTGGTGAATACATTTCAGGAGCCCTCGCACATGGCATTCTGCCATTAAAAGCCAAGAGATGCCTAGACAAATTCCCCTGAGTCTCTTTGGGGAGGCCGACACTGAATTTGTCGGCCAGAATTTTAGTCATCCACTCAACAGCTATACTCCAGAAGCAGAAGATGAATAGGTAGCTATGGTGAACTTTGAAGCCTGCAGGTCAAAGTTCTCTCTCATTATCCCCACCATTTTCTATCGGCGTAGCTCCTCAGCATCCCAAGGGATGGGATGGTTTGAGGCTCTTGAAAAAAACTGACATGACCAAGTCAGAAAACAGTAGGGTGCTTATGTACATATATTTTTCTTTCCCCATTTTCCTCTCCCCCCACTTTCTTGAAAAGAAAGAGTATGAATTTAGCTATTGTGTCAAACGTCAACCCGGTGGCATTAGTAGTTACTCATCTAGCTGGCACAATACAGCAGTCATTTCAACACGCTGCCCTGCCAAACAGGCCTGACCCTTCCAGGGACACCTCCTCTGTAAGGAAGGTACTAATTTGATTTTTCACTCCCCATCCCAAAACCTTTTTTGTAGCCAATCCTTTCAAGGAGGATGACAGTACTGATTTCTGCAACACAGACATATTCTCTCTATTAAAAACACTGCCTTCGTGCCTGAACCGCTACTGAACACATCTGACAGAGACAACTCATCCACTTCTGGCCAGATCTCAAGCAAAATTTAATACAGTGCTCGCTATCAGTCATTAAATATTACAATAGGTTCTTCCAATGCAGGTGGTACGTTCTGCCTCAAACCACAGCCTAGAAAGACCAAATTATCTTCTAAATTTACTTCTGCCACCACTAGAGGCCAGCCCACCTTTCACTTCACAGATTTACAACTGCAAAATTTTTACCATCAACATGACCCGCATACTTGAGATAACCCAAATCTAACTAACAGGGCAGGTGAGAGCCAGGCTTTTTATGAGTTTAGGAAACTGACTTTAGATGGTTAACAAAAGTTCTTTTCTTCAATGCTGTTTAATGGGAAGGTTAGTAGGAATAAGGCCCTTATTTTTCAAAAGGATGTAAGAAATTATCCCAAACAACAATGCAAGCACAGCATTAAAAATTCATCAGTTTCTTTGGTTTGTTATGAAAAAAGCAAGGAGCAGTTACAGATAAACAAAAACCAAACCAGAAACACATTATCAGAGTCCTGCCTGGGGGAAAACCCGTTCACTTGGCAATACCCAAGTGAAATTCTGGCTTTCCTGCCTACAAATTTCTGTTCAGACTGTACTGGGAGCGCAGCAGACTTCAAGGATCTGGTCCTGGCTCTTCCCCCACTGTGGTTTGCAAAGGGCAGAGAAGATGCTACTCACATACTACTGCCCGATGGACGACGAATGCTCTGCAGGGTGTATTAACAATAGTTAATTGACAATAAATAGTCCATTGACAGTACGGAAATACACTGCAGAAGTAGCGCAGTGACTCTTTGAAAGCTAAAGGCAATAGATACAAGGCATTAAACCACCATCATTTCTAATACGAACCACGTCACCAAAAAATTTTAACACGAATGAGCAGAACCCTAGTTACTCCTAGAGAGTGGCTTCAGTAAAGGTGTCTCAAGAAGCCCCTGAACAAGTAGGACATTTTCCCCAGTAGCCTCCTGTCAGCTAGGAGCTGAGCATGGTCCCTCACCAGTACCACATACAGCCAAGGCAAAAGTAGGATGTTGCAAACCTAACTGGGCTACGCAAGGAGGTCTGAGCAAATGGAAATACAGAGCCGTGTACCTTTTTCTTGGGGTGGGGGGGGCACGGTGGGGGATAGAAGGAAACAATTACAGGCTGGTAATTACTTCTTCTTTAAATGGATTTTCTCTAATCTCCAATGGATTTACCTCTAATCTCAAAGTAATTACCTCTAATCTCAATGGATTCTCACTCTGGGGGAGACTAAGCAGCTCCGGGGAAGCCTACAGAGAAGAAGTACTCTATTGTCTGCAAGAAGCAATGAAAAACTAACACGTGCACAGCAACCGCCAGGAACAATACAGCACTTCTACAAAGCGAGGAACAGACCTGGCGCAGACAATGGCAGCTTGCCTCCTCCTTGCTTGATGACCCAGAGTTGGCCAACAAAATCTAAGGAAAACTCACGCGGGAGCTCCATGGGGGTGGCTTCAAAGGCACGCAGTATCTGTGCTTCCCTTCTGTGAGCAACACCAATATACAATTCAGGTATTTTGGGACTACTTCACGGCAGAATTCACCAAATTTAAAGGCACTAAAAGTGGCCAAAGAGGACAGAGAGACTTGTACAGTTTCACCAAAAGGAATAGTGAAAACCTTGCTCCAGAAGACAAGGGCTGACGGAGAAGACTTCTGATGGAAAGCAGTAATGCCTTGAAGGTAGCTGTCATCTATCTTATTAAATAGTTTTTAAGAGACATGGACGTACCACCAGAAACTACAGCAAAGCATTATTACAGTAGGATCTGAGACTATGAAATCTTGTGTCAAGCCAGAGAAAGTGCTATCATTTAGCAGACAGGGAAAGGCAAGTTGGTGCAAGCACAGCATCAGTGTGGCCATGCTCCTCAGACATCACTCCCCTAAAGCAGAAGTTTCCTGCCAGTTCCACGTGCAGCTCTATAAAACCCAGAACATATCTACAAAAATGTATCTGGTTAAAACTTAGATTTTCACTCCTTAAGGAAAAATTGCCCAGGAGCTCAAAACGGCACCAATAGGTTTACAAACTACTGGCCCTAAACGTGTCACAATTGGCCACCCTCTGATATTCAGATGTGGTAACGATGATAAAAAATAAGACCAGATACGATCATAAAGATCTTGGTGAGGGTCACACCATGGTTTTTTTTTTGTATTTCACCATTGCCTCTACTACAGAGCAAAAGCAAAGGAGCTGGGAATTTCAAGATCTGGAGTCTCCGCATTGGCTCTGCCTTTCGAACTGCTCTGGCATGGAAAAGCTCTGGCAAATCTCACTTTTCCTCCTGCCGGCATGGCCAGGGCAGATAGGGTGGGCTAGCTCTGAGTCAGATCACTGTGCCCCTTCCATCCCCCAAACCGTACCTAGGGACTGTGCTCCACACACTGAGAGGGACAGACGGGATCCTTGGGCAGAGACAACGACAGATGCCTTAACATGAAGAAGTTTTATGGCACTTATTTTAATAGCCATGCCATTTTCAAAAGGCTGCTCAGAATTACTTCTGAATAAATCCTAACCACTGCACACTGACGAAGACCAGAAACTTTCCTCACTCTCTACAGCATCTAGGACGCTTTTTCTTACAAAACACTTCTGTTTTTTCATCCCGGGACTGACAACAAGTCCATCAGAGCATCAGCACAAAATAAAGGCTTACATGGTTTCAGCTGCCTCTTGGGATGTAAAGGGAACGCCAGTTCTAGGGCACTGAAAGTAACTTCACTGTACTCAGACTTGCACCAGGGAATTTTATTTCCTATTACGCCTTTTTGAGAGGGAAGGGAATGAAGAGAGAAAGAAGTTCCTCCACCAAAGAGGGTTCGATAGAACCATGTCAGGACGAACTCGCCAAAACTGCTTTATCAGGGCCTGACGTTGCTGAACGTTCGGAGAGCATGGTGTACTTACATGTAAACTGGGATGGTAGGTCAGCACACCGTTGTCACACAATGTCACGTATTTCTTCTTCCACTCTTTATTCAGTGACTTGCCACTTCGCTTTAGCAGCATACCCTATTAGAGGAAAAAAGAAAAAAGATTAAACACTCTTGCCAGCGCACAACTATTTAAGGCACAGAAAGAGATAAATATAATTGCCAACATTTTTAGATATGCTCTCTCCTTCAAGTTACTTGTTTTCCCCTGCCTCTCGCATGATGCACATTTTTTCCGTGGGCAGCTTCAGTGTTTGCAGTTGAGGAGGAAAAGGTCTAAGTGGGCTTTCATAAACCAAGTCATGTAAACAGAAAAAACTGTATCAGCGCTGGCTTTGTCCAATGGGTAGGGAAAATCCTTTTGCACTGAATTCCATGCCTCGGGAAAGCACACTTTAACATGACACGAAGTAAGGTTACCCAGCTGATAAAGACACCACTCTCAGTGCATTTCCTAGCCCTCTGAAATAAATGATGAACCCCAGGTTGAGTGAGGAACCCACTGCAGGGCTCGTGCTCCCTGCAGCGTGTTCCTGGGGACTCCTTGCTGTCCAGGCCCAGGCGCTCCACGAGCAGGGAAAAGCACACGTTTAATGTTCCCATTCCCTTGGCAGTAAGGTGACACTGCAATGGAAATCCTCCCAGCCGTTCATTCCAGCAAAAGAGACACCAATTCCAGGCAAGAGCAGCAAAATGGAAACTGAGCAAATACAAATTCTGGATAATTTAATGAGAGAGGTGTGATCAGAGAGGAAAGGAGGTGGGCAAGGTGACTCACCTTTCCACAAATCATATTCAACCTAAACATCAGTGATGAATGTTAACAATCAACAGTTGAGATAAAAAGTCATCCTCGCGTTCAAATGGACTGGGACTACTACCGCGTATTAACCTGTTCTCAGTTTAAAAACTGAAAGTCACTTAGAAAAGCGAAATACAACACGTTGTCGTACACTGAAGGTGGCAAATCAAGCCATGCTTTAGCAACGCACTTCCCTAGGAAATTTTTATTTCCAAAACTACGTCAGAAGGCAGTTCCTAATGAATTCATACAGTACTTTGGTTACTGAAAGTCTTACTGAAATGTCCCAGTGGAGACACTACGTGCAGTACCCACCTCAGGGACTGACTCCTTCCACAGATCAAGTTCTGGTAAAAGCGGCGACTTATATTCATTTCATTAAATCATAGCCAGGAATCTAAACCAATACAAACTTCAGTTTTCTAATCCCCATAAAACGAGTTTTCCCATTCTCATTTTCCATAGAACTTAAAAAATGGGAAAACAGAACACAGAGAGCTGCACTATCAAGCATGGTGCTTCCAACTCCCACGGAGTTTGTTTTTATTGAAGCGGGTTAAAACCTTTAAAGCAAGTGATGCTCTTTCCCCACTAAACCCGTAGCTTTATAAAGCGATCTCTCTGCAGACCCAGTCCCAAAGCCACGAGGGGACAAGGGCCAGTTCTGGGCAAGCAGAAGCCCTCCAGAGCGAGGCAAATTCCAGATGTCATAACTTCCAGCTGCAGCCCCTCGCCACAACCCATAGGAACTACCGACTCTCCTTTTGCAACCAGAGAGATGATCCCAGCAGAAGAGCCAAGTTCACAACTGCCTGTTCCTGGACACACACTCTGAATAAAAACTTCAGAGAGCAACCCTTCACAATTCAAAGCAATCTGCGGATGGGACCGTAAAGAAAAGCTTGTGTCGGATGACTGAATTACACAGCGGTACAAACTCCGAACTTTCTGACCGTCTGGGGGTCAGATTTCTTTTTTTTTTGTGCTGTTCCTCGCTACAACTCAAACTTTTACAAGGGAGAATGGGGTTTCTGAAATGCTTCCTTACAAAAGCTTCTGCGAGTGCGAGTCGTACATCCCAATTACCGTCTTCCAGTGGTTAGAGACACTGTTTTCTTCTATTAAAAAATGAAAGCTTATTTCTGCCTTTGAGTTGTATGTTTGTCTATAGTAGGTGATCTGTCGCTTCACCTTTCCAATCTTTCATACCTCACCTGCAGCACGTTCGCTCGCGTTTAGGGGGACCCAATTCTAGTTATCGCTGTGCTGTGGGGATCAAAAATTGCTGTTTCCCTGCACTGGTTTGTTCTTCAGACCTTTTAATGGGGAAAAGGCTGTAAAGATCAGAACAGTGATTTCCCCCCCCCCCTTTGCCTTTTTTGAAGTTTTGAAGAAAGTAAACTATATATATATTTCACACGTTTTTAACTGTCCCTTTGCTGTACAGAAAACGTGTCATAACTTACATAATTTTCAATTCATGCCAATTACAAACTCAATAAATAGCAAAAACCTACCACTTTTGTGATTTTTACTACACAGAAGTTCTGCTACTATCTAGGTATGAATTGTAATATTTTATTTTTGGATCTAAATGAAGAAAATTACTCAAAATGAGGTTCCATATTGCTTTTAAAGTAGAATTCTGTGCTTTCATGTAAAAAAAAAACCAAACCAACTCAGCGTTAAACACGGACGATATACCTATTTGTGACTAACTAACAAACCAGACTTCCCAATCCATTTTATTTAGGCACTACGTTGGCAAAAGTAATAGATTTTTGTATTGTGTGAGAATTAAAAATATTGTCCTGTACCTGCAGAGGAAACTGCTCTGAAAACAAGGAGCTAACTTGAAGTGTTATAAAGCAGAGAAGCCCACATAAACCACAGTTTTTTTTCCCCAAGGCCAGAGACCACCACTTTGTCGGGGATAATTATATAGAATGGTCTGGAGAAATGCTCTTAGTATTGAAGTTTAGCTCCGTTATAAATGCACTTTAACATTAACTAAACTTAAAAAAAAAAAAATAAAAAAAATGGCCCAGATATGACAAGAAATGTTACTTAAAAAAAAAAAAAAGACAAAGCCTTTCACTTCAGTCACATTATGTCTACATTTAAGTCACATCAGATACTCTGCCTAAGAAACGAGATACATGAGTTCCCACTGACCTTTGGTATCTCTGAGGCAATTTAGAGGTAGCTTGGGCACATCTCCAGTCACAGCCAAACAGGCCCCCAGGTACACACAGCACACTGGAAAAATCACATTTAGGCTCCAAACCATGCAGTAAGGAACTAAGTAAATCAACTTCTACTTCAAAATACCAATTGTTTTTGATTTTTTTTTTTTTTTTTGGTCAAAATAATCTCTGCCTCAAATTATTATTAATCACATAACATGATTTCTCCTAATTTGTATGAACTCTTGCACTTGCTAGTCTTCCATCTGCAACTTTAGCCCTGCAGTTCGGTGTAGCTGACTGAAAGCCTCCAGATTCAACACTGAGAATTTAACACCTCCAATTTCCTCACAAACTGAGAAAAATTTCACACCTCAAATTATATTTTTTTACCACCTTCCCTCCAAAATTGCAGTTCTGAGTCTGATTGAGGAATGCTTCTCCTACCGGGCTGCGCTACCTTGTACTTTTAATGAGCCCCAGGAAAAAGACCTAAACCAGAGTGCACGAACTTCACTTCTTGGGTTCTGCTCGAGGAACTGCGTCACTGAACAAAGCAAACGGAGGAACCGTCTGTACATACTGCGAGCTCTTTATTAGTAATGTGTATGCTACGTCTAGTCCCAGGAGGTCATTGCAAGCCAAAAGCAATGTTAAGTGTACAAGCTTTAAATAACTTACAAAGTTAATGTAATGAATGTAAGTGTTATCTGAAATCCATCACTCAGTGGCTTGCTGTAGCCTCAAGCTGTGATAAAACACCACTCATAAATTTATATTAAAACTCTGTTCAATAGCAATTATTTACCAACAAAGATTTATTGATTGCATTTGCTGTTAGAGACTGGGGCCCTAACTGAGTCAATCAGCTTACGCTGTTGAGCTTCAGGGCACCAGGAGAAGTTACAGACTGCCATCAGGCTCTGCATCCCAATCATTACTGTGAGAGCAGGAGCAGCTAATGAAAAGCCGCCAGTGCAGGATTGATTGGACTTAAAGTAAAACAAAAAACACCAAACCACCCAACACTGGTCAAGGGACCACTGTGCATAATATACACAGTTCCTCCGAACGCGCAGTACCGGGCTCAGTCTTGCCGCTCCAGATGCCTTCCTGTGAGCTACAAACCTTGCTTGCTTAAACAACAAATGAAGACAAATGGTGAAACAATTACAAATTTGTTTTACAGAAATATTTCAGGCTTTAAGAGGCAAATTATCAGCTTTTAAAAAAGCGACCTCTTGAAGTTGCTTAATACTGTAGTGAAGATGCTGGGAGGTGAGTCGCCTTAATTTTTCAGACAGGCCAGACGCGGTAGCAGGATAGACTTGCATACTTCCCACAAATAAATGCCATCAAAACACACATACTGATTGTCAAGAGACATCTACAGCCACTGCTTGGCCTGCGAGATTAATATTGTCTGTGGACCAACATCCTTCGCGTGCCCTGTTGTGCTCCGTTTCAATTTTCTCACTTGCCCAGGTATTTTGGATTTCACAGGAGCCACGAAACACAAAGGGTTTCACAAACAGGATAATACCAGTGATCAAAGTTTAACCGACTGCACCTTTTTTTGCATTTGCTCCAGCTGTAGCACTGACTTGAATTTATTTTTTTTAGGGGGGTTGGGGCTGTGTGTTTGTTTTAATAGGATTTGGTAGATTTGACTTCTCTTGGCATGTCAAGTGAAAATGGTAGAGCCCTGGAAGTCAGCAGAGCCAAGACTGGTCCTTCTGAAAAACGAAATACAGTATGTTTAGTTTCTGTTTTCTTTCAGAAGCTTACACCACAGCCATGGCAGAGGTACTGGCATCATGCAAGCTCTTTTTCCTTCCCCTCCCTGATTTTTAGCCAACCCCATACTGTTACCCTGATGCTGTTTTGACAGAACGGAATATGTAATCTCGCACTTAATCGCTAACGGCGTAAATTCTTAATTTTCCACTCAGGTCTTTAGTTCTCATAACTATGATTAGCAGCTAGCAGTGCTATGAATTTTCTACAGCTCTATCATTTGCATCCTGTTCACAAAAGAAAAACTCATGTTTTTCAGAAACATCCTCCCTCAAATAACTGCAAAGGTAACCA